TATATATATATACATCATAATGTTATTGGTATGAATTACTACCACTAATTTTGTGAATAATTAATTTTTGATTACTAACTTGATTGATTAATTTTAGTGATAATATATTTGAGAAAGTTATAAAAATTGAATTATTTTAATAATTAATTATACAAATAATTGATTATAATAATAAAAATATATATATTTGGATATATAAGTTTATTAAAAACAATTTTAAAAAATTTAATTTAATTTAAATATTTTTTTATAATCTTAATATTAGTATAAAATATCTATAATTAGAAATAATAACTAATTTCTGTCGGAGACCGTAGATTCACATAAAATAAATATTTTTTTCTTAATATAGTTTAATTTTGTTTATATATAACAGAGGAAAAGTTTTTTTTTTTGAAGTAAATAAACTTAAAAGAAAAAAAAGTGTTGAGAAATAATAAATCTCAAATTTTCAGCTTTGTAAAAAAAATATTTTTTTTAAAAATATGATAAATTTTAATTATTATCCCAATTTCAAAACATATAATAACTTATTTTGCAAGCAACATTTTTTCTTAAAAGAACAGTTGAAAGTAAAAAATATTTAATCTTTTTTTAATCATGCTCCAAATCTTTCTCCCTAACTACAATATTTTTCTACCGACAATAATTTGAATTTTGAGATACTCTTTAAGAAATCTAAGTCAATAATCATTCGTACCAACAACATGTTCTTTGAACTCATACTCTAATGCTAAAAGGTTAACAAAAAGAAATACTTGAATGATAAAGAGGAAAAACAAATTCACACTCGAATAAACTGAAAATAAGAAGTAATGTAATTTCTTCTTTGAATTGTTTAACTATTACTCTTGATACAACAGCTAATAAAAACCCTATTTTTGTATACATTTGACAGTGTCTTATATAATTTGAACAGTATATTATTTTGAAAATATGGTTGAAGTGGGAATGCAATTAATAAGGAAGAGCAGGTAGCTGACAACAGCCAATATACATCACGTATTTCGATTGCCCTTTATTTATTTGTAGCCGCGCTCAACAACTTTTCCAATCTCCTACATAATCACTGTAGTGATTAATACTTATTCATGTAGAAATACAGTTCTAGTAGCATCTTCTATTTTTTTTTTCTTTCTAAATTTGTTTATTAAAGCTTATGCAAATGCCATCGGCAACCAGCCTGTGTTTTTTAGATGTTAATAAGTTTTAGTAATGGAATTGTAGCCATTAGAAGTTACTGTAATATGTAGGAGGAACTAACTAGCTAGTTTAGTTGGTGAAACCAATGGCCAAGTATGAATATTGCACAATACATTGATACAAATCGTTTGGTGGTGAGTTACGTTTGATAATCACGTTTACGTGGAATACCGAGCTAGTCAATTTGTCATGTACATATATAGCCAAGTCTCATCCCTTTCACCAAATCACCATAGACAATTATGTTCCAACTTCCACGACCGTATTTCATTCGCTCCATTTCAAAGCAAAACATAGTATCATACAAAATGAAGGCGTATTTTGTTCACATGTACACAAACCCATCGTATTTTGAATAAATTCCAACGTCCATGTCCATGTTTTCATTCATTTCTATTAATATGCCTAGCGAGAAATTAATAGTAATAGCGTGAATGTTTTGCATTCATTGCATCAATTCTAAAAAAATGGCATACAACTAATTGGCATCCCTACAAATGAGAGTAGGGTTTAACGTCCAATTTATTTTGCGGTATATATGAAAGAAAGAAAAAGAGAAAGTACTATGAAAAATGAGATGAATGATTACTTCACTAGTTAAACCTTGAGTAGAGGAGTAAGGAGGGTGAGTGGTGAGTGGCATTTAGGTAAATAAGAGTGGGATATGGACCCAAAAAGCAAGAAGTGAAATCCTGAGTGTGTCTCTTCTCTTCTTCTGTTCTGGCTTTCGCTTTTGTATCCGTTGATGAAAGTTGAAGCCTCACTTTTCCCAATATTCTCGCTTCTTTTCTTCTTTAATTATTTCATCTCATTTTTCAATTCTCAAGCAAAGCAAAGCAAACACTTCATTTCATTTCATCACATTCACATTTACATTCTCGCGATGGCAGCATCCGCCACCTCCTCCGGCGGCGCGCTGCCGGAGCTAGCCAACCGAACCCCCTTTCTCGGCCTCAAGCTCTACGTCTTGTTCCTCATTCTAGCTCTCATGGTGGCCGCCGCGGTGGTCCTGATCCTCCTCTGCGTTCGCCGGAGCCGGAGCTCGAAGAAACACAAAATGCGTGTGAAGCACAGCTCCGGCGCGATCCCACTGGTCTCCAAGGAGATCGTGGAGGTGAATACTCTGGACCTGAAAATCGAAGAGGAGGATCCGAAGAAGAACGTTGAGATTGAAGAAAGTGCGTCGGTGGAATCGCCCAACATAGGGTGGGGACGCTGGTATACCCTCGACGAGCTTCACACCGCCACTCAAGGCTTTGCAGAAGAGAATGTCATCGGAGAAGGAGGCTATGGGATTGTCTTCAAAGGACTTCTCCTCGACGGTTCTGTCGTCGCTGTCAAAAATCTTCTCAACAACAAGTACGTAATACACAATCTTTTCTGTTTCTGTTTTTCTTTTTTTAATTACGCATGTTTATGTTTTCTAACGTTGCCGTGTTTTTTTGTGTATGTGTATAATACAAGGAAAGAAACTGTTTTTTGTTTTGGGATCCTACACTCTTGAATTATGGAACTGGTCTAGGTGGAATTATTTATAATTATCACTTATTAGTCGTCAATATTTGTTTCGTGATCCAAGCACGTATCAACTGGTCAATGATCAATATGTTCTTCTTCTTTGAATTTCTTTTGATCATGGTCTGGGTGATGTTATTTTTACTTTATTTTTTCTTTGTCTACTTTTGCTTTTCTTTATTTATTATATAATTCGTGATTTCGGTATCTCAGCTTTTTCTTTTCGAGGCTTGTTAATTTATTTATCCTAGTCCGAGAATACTTTAGTTTAAAGTTTAAATAAACAAACTAACGTGTGTCACTGTGTCAGCAGCTGCTGTGAATTAGGTGGGCCAGCAAGAGAACTACTACTGGCGATATTAATTAATGGCTTCATAATTCGTATTAATCTTTAACAAAAATGAACTTGGATCTTCTCTTGTTGTTCTGTAACGCGCGATAATCACGTTAGAAAGTGGCAAAAAGAATAATTGGTGGAATGTGTTCTTTTATAATGTTACTATATATAGAAGAGATCCAAATCTAACAAAAATGGAATCTACAATTTGGGCATGACAATAAATTAAGAAGTAATGTAGAACTCTAGAGCTAGAAGAAAATATGTAGACTGTAGAGGCTGTTTTACCTTACCGCCGCAACTTTGCTGTACAATGAATGCTATGTATCTATTTCCTGAAATAACGGAACATTTTTAGTACATTCTTTCTTGCCATGGCTTATTGAAATTCATGTGTGTTGTTGAATTGTAATTAAGGGGTCAGGCAGAGAAAGAGTTTAAGGTGGAGGTTGAAGCAATTGGAAAAGTGAGGCATAAGAATTTGGTGGGGTTAGTTGGATATTGTGCAGAAGGTGCTCAAAGGTAAAAAAAAATATTCTGTTTACATGCATACCCATGACTGTAAGGTCTTTCTAATGAAGAAACTTACTCTATATTTTGTGTATGGCACTTTTGCTGATTATTCAGGATGCTTGTTTATGAATACGTTGACAATGGAACACTGGAGCAGTGGCTGCATGGTGATGTAGGACCTGTTAGCCCCTTGACATGGGATATACGAATGAAGATTGCTGTTGGGACTGCGAAAGGGTTTGTTTATTCAATTTCACGTTTCGTTTTATTGAACATATACCTCAAAGTATCATCCATGCCACCTTCTTTAAAATGTAATATAATGCTTGTCAATTGATATATAGCTACCTTTTACAATAATGAGTATTTCTTGGTCAACTATTATCACGATCCATTTTATGAAATTTCTATTACCTTAAATATTCCTTCAAGGAGTATCAATTAATTTTCCTACACTATGAAACAGGCTAGCATATTTGCACGAAGGCTTGGAACCGAAAGTTGTTCACCGAGATGTAAAATCCAGTAACATTCTTTTGGACAAAATGTGGAATGCTAAAGTATCCGACTTTGGACTGGCCAAACTCTTGGGGTCTGAGAAAAGCTATGTGACAACGCGTGTAATGGGGACATTTGGGTTAGTTCCTTCTCAAGCCTCGGAGTTATTTTTCATTTTGAACGTGTTTAAGAGCTTCTTAGTTAAAATATTTGTTTTTTTAGCAATACAAACTTGTATTCAAACATATTCTTTCTCTTATACGGAGGTGAATAATATTTATCTATATTACTATTTCACACCGCAAATTTTCTTCAGATATGTTTCACCTGAGTATGCAAGCACGGGTATGCTTAATGAGGGAAGCGATGTGTATAGTTTCGGGATTCTACTTATGGAGCTAATTACAGGAAGAAGTCCCATTGATTATTCTAGACCACCCGGAGAGGTGATTCAAGGATTTTTCCATAATTTCTTCACTGTATACCCTGAAACTTCAATTAGGCTTATGTGTGTGTTTTGTTTTCAGATGAACTTGGTTGATTGGTTTAAGGGAATGGTAGCAAGTCGTCGTGGTGAAGATCTAGTTGATCCTTTAATTGAGATTCAGCCCTCTCCAAGATCTTTGAAGAGAGCTTTACTAGTTTGTCTGCGCTGTATAGACTTGGATGTCAGTAAGCGACCAAAGATGGGTCAAATTGTTCACATGCTTGAGGCTGATGATTTTCCCTTTCGCTCTGTAAGCCTCTCTGGTTTATTAAGATAAGATATATGTGATGCACAGTTAAACGCAGTTTTGACAGTAAATGTCACATTATATATAATATTGGTTATTCAATGTCATAATTGATGCTGACTCCCTACCTCACTGAAAGAAGGAAAAAAAACAACTTCAAATTTGTACCATGGAAACATGTTTGACATGCATTTCAATAGATACTAGATGAAGTATGTGCCATGCTCAACAACTGCACTAATTACTGTGTATGGTTGAGACGTTTTATCATTAATGTTCAGTGAATTGTGGTAAAAATTCAACTTAAATGACTTTCTTTGCTTACTGATTACTGAATAGGAGCATCGAACAAATCGAGAGAAAGAGCATGTTCATTCTAAAGCAGCTGCTTCCATTAAGATTCCATATCCAACAAGGCATGTGGAACCTCTAGATAAATCAAGCTGGAGATGATTGTGCGCTTTGCTGCTCATGGGAGTTCAAACTATTTGTTCAAATGATTTTCAATTTGTTATGAAAGTCAGAAGCCATTGTGCATATATCCTATTACAGCGTAGGTACTTCTATCTCTGTAGGTGTCAACATATTTTGCTTTATGGCATGATCTTGTGAAGAAATGGACCTTGTAAATATGAATTTCCCACAACATATAAATTTGATCAGTTTGCATGAGATTATATTTCTGCTGTATTGCTGATATTTACTCAGGGATATTCTCGTTTGTGCTTCATATAATATATTTGGTTCGGGTATATGTACTTCATAAATAAGAAAAGGTTGCTTCACGTTTGGTACTGAAAGGAGCGTGTCGGTGACACTGCAATTATTAAACTCTCAGATCAGATCATGTATAACTTGTCGGTTAATTGCGCTGGAATCCATGCCAAATCAGGTGAAAGGCTCCTGAAATTTGAATATTTTCCAACTTGATTACGAGGTTGTGTGTTCATAGCAAGTTGAAGATAGGGATTGAGAAAGAGGAAGGGGATGGTGAAGGAGTTAAGATTAGCAATCTCCTCAACTAGGATATTTGTTTCTTTTGTTTATACGTATATTTTCCTTGTTTTCATGTAAACAATTGGATTATTTTATAAGTTATGACACCTCTAATTCACTCAAATATATTTCTTTTTTCAAATTTCTCTTGCCTCTTAAAAAATATTTATTCTATTTTTTTATTTTTTAAAATATAGAGACACACGAAATGTTTTATTAATTACAATAATGTCAACATAATCTATGTGTATACTATTTTTTTTTAATGAAATATGAATATAGTGAATAGGAAGAATGATGTTAATTACATTTGCCTCTTTATTTTTTTTAAATATTAATAGTACTTTTTAAAGCTATTTTATTTTTTAAAATGAAGAAAGTAAATTTTTTAAAGATATTTTATTTTTTTATTACTCATACTCTTACAGTTTGAAATTTTTCTCTCCAACTTCTACTATCTTAAAACAATTTCTGGAAATTGTTTTATAAAGTAGTTTTAAAAGTTACAAAACAAAAAGCAATCAAACTTAATTAAATTTTCTTTAAAATTATCTTTATGAATAAATTAAAATATTTATCTTTAATAAGACTTTTCTAAAATATATTTTTCAATGATAGTGTTTTAGAAATTTTCTTTTCAAAAATAATAATTTATCTTTTTCTTCTTTATTTCAAAATTAAATTTCAATATTTTATTAAAAAAATTGTTAATTACATTTGCCTCTTTATTTTTTTTTAAATATTAATAGTACTTTTTAAACCTATTTTATTTTTTAAAATGAAGAAAGTAAATTTTTTAAGATATTTGTTATTTATCATTTTATTTTTTTATTACTCATACTCTTACAATTTGAAATTTTTCTCTCCAACTTCTACTATCTTAAAACAATTTCTGGAAATTGTTTTATAAAGTAGTTTTAAAAGTTACAAAACGAAAAGCAATCAAACGTACATAATTAAATATTCTTTAAAATAAATATTTATCTTTAATAAGACTTTTCTAAAATATATTTTTCAATGATAGTGTTTTAGAAATTTTCTTTTCAAAAATAATAATTTATCTTTTTCTTCTTTATTTCAAAATTAAATTTCAATATTTTATTAAAAAAATTGTTAATTACATTTGCCTCTTTATTTGTGAGAATAGTTGTAAAAAACACATTGAAAGTAGTTGTAAAAAAAACATGTTAAAATACAAGTTAATATTTTTAGTAACTATGTTGTTAATACAAAATAATTGAGTCTTTTCTCTCAATAATATATTTTTTTTACACAAAACCTGAATTCTAAATTTAGAGAATTGAGTCATACACCACTCAAACTAGACTTATTAAATGTTAAAAAATTATTTTGAGTCTATTATAGAAAGATGTGATTTTAGTTAACTTAAAAGTTACATACTGAGTTTGGAATTTAATGCGCATAAATTTTATTTGAATTTATTTCACTAAATGAATTAGTACTTAAAACAATGGTGAATTATTATTTTTTAATTCTTTGATTTTAAATAATATTTTCTCAAAATTAGGACATGTTTTCTTGCTTTTAAAAATAAAGATTTACTCCTTTTATTTTCTATTATAAGTAAAAAAAAATGTCTTGAATATAAGCAAATCACAACTACTTGTATCTCTTTAAAAAAATTTAAAATATCATTTTTTTGCTTTTCAATTTTCTGATACTCATATTCTCTATTGGTTTGTCTCATATTATGTCCTCACCCTTCTTATCTAAAAATTAGTTTTCAAAAATTCATCCTTACATATAAAATAAAATCGGTTATTTTGTATGAAAATATTTTTAGAGATTTTATTTTAATAATATTTTTTTTTAGAAATTCCTATAATTTTTTATCTAATATTTTAATCTGTGCAATATATATGCTAAATATTTGTTATATATAGTTAAAATTTTATAAGAAATTATATATAAATAAATACTGTTAGAAAAGAATGGCACAATCCAAGAGGGGGGTGAATTGGATTCTATGACCTTTTAAAAATTATCAGAGTATTTAGGATCTTTATTTCACTTTTAAACTTTTCTAAGACTGAATTTTCAAATGAAGCTTTTCTAAAGACTTGTTATGAAAATATGAATGCAATATGCTCACTTGATTACAACATAATGAGGTTCAACAATAATGCTCTAATTCAGATTTAAACTGACAAAATTCACATACACTTGTTAATCAAGTTTTATCTTCTTTAAAGTTCAACCAAGAAATTACACAATGTAAAAGATAAGGTAGAAGAAGATTGCACAAGTCTTTTATACTGGTTCAGCCACTCCACATGTGACCTACATCCAGTCCTTAATCAACAAATATAATATTTATTTATATGTATAATTTATTATAAATTTTAATTATAATAAATATTTACTCTTTGCGATATGTAAACTAAAATATTAGTTATTTTATAAAATGATTTTAAAAATAAAAAACAACTTAATCAAATACACCCTTAATTTTACCTCATGCTCTCCAAAATTAGAATCCTAATTTGTCCTATAAAAAAACTTTTATCTTACTCTACCTAGAACCTATGAGTATTTCAAAATAATTTTAATGAAATGACAATAAAAATTAGTCTATTATTTAAAAATTAATAATAGCAAGCCATCATCAATATGATATCATAACACTTTGTTCCCAATTAGGCTTGGGCTATACAAGCCAATCTAGTCTGTTTAAAGTATGATTTGCGATACTTTCGTTTTTAATGGATTAAATAAGTAATCCAATCTAATTTGACTTGATTAGCCACCAGACCAGAAATAATAAATTAAAATGTACTATTTGATTTCATTCTAATATCACTACAAAAAAAATTTAAAGTTTAAAATAATAAATAAATAAAATAAAAGTTACAACTGTGATAGAAAAATAACTTTTTTTTTTATCACTTTGTCAACCATGGCTAGTAACAAAGCTGAGAGGGTTGCTTGACAAGGAAGAAGAGGGTAAATTAGAAAGAAAAAAAAATAGAAAGAGAAAATAAAATAAAAAAAAATGAGAAAATATTTTAGCCATATAAATAAAAAAAATTAATATATCCATGGGTTATAAATCGTTGTCCATTGTGGACCATATAGGCCGGTTTCCTAAGCTAGAATAGTAGAATTTGCCCACTTTTTCAGCCCTTATTATGGGCATAAAATTTGTCTAAATAATGTGAGTCTAACTTTCACGAGAGAAAAAAAATATCAAAAATATTTTTATACTACATTCTAACAATTTAAAAAATATATATTTTCACTTTTATATTTTTATAAATAAACATGAAAAAGCTCCTCCTAACAGTATACGTAAAATAAATTCTAATTTTAAATGAAAAAATTGTTTTTACTCGTTATCATGGAATGTAGTGTTTAATTTCACTTTGAATACGAAATCTCTAGTAAAATTATTACTTTAATCTTAAAAATAGATTGATTTGATGAAAAATAATTATATATCTTAGTTAGAAAAAAGAAGAAAAATTGAAATAGGAGAAGGAAAGGAATAGAAGTTGATGAAAAAAGAAGTGGATTTTTTTTTTAATCTATTTGGTGTAATTTTTTCGAAAAAAATTCTAAAATGGATAACTTTTTAAAAAATCACCAAATTAGCACGTCCTGTTTGTGAAACACGATTTTTAAAGTAAGTTTTTAAAAGTCGTGTTTTACAAACACGATTTCTAACTTTTTAAAAAAAAAAAAAATCAAACAAAAGGGAAGTCCTGTTTTTGAAATCTCACTTATTTTCTTAAAAAAATGATTTTGACTAAAAAAAAATAATCTCAATTTAAATCACGACTTACTATTTTTAAAATAAAAAATATAAAAAAATTGTGTTTGGTATTCACAACTCTTGTTAAATAAAAAGAAACTAAAAGACGTGTTTCTCAAACACGACTTCTTTCAAATAAAAGTCGAATTTCATAATATACGACTTATCCCAATTTAATTTTTTTTAAAAAATTTATTCCAAATGTCAAAAAGATGCAAAGAAGTGAGATGCCAGTATATAATTGTCGATTATTTGATTTTTAAGAGATGTCAAATGTGACTGATAGGTGTTTGAAATATTTTTTTTATTTATAAAATTTGAGTTATTAAATTTTAATTTAGTTGTACAAGTTAATCTTTCAGTTATATGGGAAATGCTACCAAAAATTTAACAATTATTTTTCATTTCAACTAGAACATCCATAATCATAATATTTAAACATGACAAAATATTTGTTATTAATTAAAAAAGATTAAAACCTTATGTTATAGTTTATATTAAATGATTAAGAGGGAGAAAAACTAACCGAAAAAAAAGAAGTATTAACTTGACACTTAACCTTTGATTAATCAAGTAACTAAATATAAAAGTAGAACCAACTTATATAATAAAATTAAAATTTAGAAACCTAAACATCATAAAAAGTCTTTCAAGTAACTATTAACGAACTTTATTATGAAATTAAATTAAAGACCTACTCTTAATGTATATATTATAGTTGGACAATATTGAGAATTAAAATAAAATAAAATAGTGGGACGATATTAAGAAAGTGTTTGTTTGGAAAAGCATTGAGTTAAACTTAATTCATGTTTTTTCCGATCCACAAGTATACTTATTTTGTCATTTGTAGCATTAGAAGGAATTTTGGCTTTGTAGCTTGTGAATGTGAATCTTAAATGCACCAAGAAATTTGTAAAGCGGGGTTTTCCATATATGTGTGGTTCAAAATTTTGAATTGGGTGGTTAACTTAATAACTATGAAGATTGAAGGCTTGAAGGTGTTGTTGTAAGCAGAAGGTAAAATGGAGGAAACTGAGGCGTTGTTGACAAGGACAACGCGTCATACAACCCAAATTATGAACACCTATAAAGTCTTTCTACCGTTACAATTCCAATTCCAATTCCAATTCTACTACACGCATCTCTCTACTTATACACACTCTTTTTTTTTCTTTTTTTTTTTTTGTCGCTTTTGGTGTCCCCTTTTATAAAAACTAAGAACGTAGCATCCAACTGCAATTCTCACTAAGCACAAAGCAATGGCTTCAATTCTTCTCTCTCTTTCTCTATTGGCCATCGCCCTCTCCCTCGCTGGTTCGTTCGTTGCTTCCCTCTCTTTTTCCAACTGTAACTTTTACTCTTACTCTTACTGTTACCTTTTCTTTCTTTCTTTCTTTCTTTCTACAAAAAAGAAATCCTACTTTTCCCAGAAAAAAGTGCAACCATAACTGTTTCCGTTACGTGACAAGCAATCAGCAATCTTTAACTTGTTTTCTTCCTTCTTGCAGACTCACAATCCTTCGTCGGCGTAAACTACGGCCAGGTCGCCGACAACCTCCCGCCGCCGGAAGCCACGGCCAAGCTCCTCAAGTCCACCACCGTCGGGAAACTCCGCCTGTACGGCGCCGATCCCGCCATCATCAAGGCCCTCGCGAATTCCGGCATCGAAATCGTGATCGGCGCGGCCAACGGCGACATTCCGAGCCTGGCCGCCGATCCGAACGCGGCGACTCAGTGGGTGAACGCGAACGTGGTGCCGTACTACCCCGGCAGCAAAATCACGCTGATCACCGTTGGCAACGAGATTCTGACCCTGGCAGACGAAGGCCTCGTCCCGCAGCTTGTCCCGGCGATGCGAAATCTCCAAAATGCCCTGAACGCGGCCTCCCTCGGCGGCAAGATCAGAGTCTCCACCGTCCACTCCATGGCCGTGTTGACTCAGTCGGATCCTCCGTCGTCCGGGTTGTTCAACCCGGCGCTCCAAGACACGCTGAAGCAGTTGCTCACTCTTCTCAAAGATAACAAAGCGCCCTTCACCATCAACCCGTACCCGTTCTTCGCTTACCAGAGCGACCCGCGACCCGAAACGCTCGCCTTTTGCCTCTTCCAGCCCAACTCGGGCCGGGTCGACTCGGGCAACGGGAAGCTCTACACTAACATGTTCGATGCCCAGGTCAGTTCTCATTCTCAACACTGTTGTCGTCACTGTTTTTCGCTTTTTGAATATTTTTTAACGGAAAAAGTTGACGTGTGAGTCAACTAGACCATCATCCTCTCTTTTTATAATTTCCACATTCCACACACTGTTCGCGGTTGATAGCGTCACATACTTTTTATCATTTAAAAATCTTGCTCTTCAATCTAACCAATGGATTGCTAATCTTGTCTTTCAGCCTTCTCATTATAATAATATATATATATATATAGTTCTTATTAATGCTAATTTCACTTTTGCCTACTTCTTTTTTGGTGAAAATATAAAAAGTGCTTCTTATTTGCTTCTTTTAATGAAAATAATAATTTTAAACCGTTGCGCGTACATAAATTAATATTGAAATGTATGGATGTCTTTAAATAATTTATTAAACAGATGATGAATATTGATTCTTGAAGTTTAAATATTAAACTGAAAATACGTATAAAAATTAAAGTCTTTTTTATCGTGCAATATGTTTTTTTTTAAGTTTAGATGACTTGACTTGAACTTTCCGTGTTAAACTGGAAAGTAGATGTAGTACTATATATGTGCAATTGTCAATAATAGATTTGCGTAAGTATAGGACGGAATATGGATTACTTGATAGGTCTGATAGCAAAGAAAGATTTGATGAGGATTCTGGATTGACCCGAGTGTTATAGCGCAAAATAAGTGTAGTTATTCTTATCACTATGTTTGTTGTTGTGGGTAGATGCTTCATAGTTCATAGTGTATACCCTCACTCACATTGATTGAAGACAGGCTGGCTACTCATAATGTGGTCACGAAACAAGTCCCTCCAAACTTCCAATAATTGTTGCCATACATAAAGAAAATGGGTCACAGTGAGTATGGTAGGTAAACCCTACTCTTTTTTATCTCATGGAATATAAAGGAAGAAAATATTCCAATGCCTGGAATACCTTTGTTCTCCCAACAGACTACTATTTGGTCCAATTGCCCCTTTGATTTTACCATAATCCGTAAATCTAATTTACCCTATATGAATATAGTCTTTGCTGGCCTCAATTTCTCAGTTTAAAATTGGGTAGGTGAACAAAATATAATGCCATTTAAATCCAAATGGAAACCCTTTAATGATCTCGTCTGGTTTATTATATGAATTTTAAATGTTATAGAAGTTGCTTATATAAGCAACTAAGGTCGTGTGAACATTAAAAAATAATTTTTCAAATTAAAATAGGAATTCTTTTTTGTTAATAAGGAGATAAAATTGGATGCAATAAAAATAAGATAAGAACTCAAGTTGAGTTTGAACTTGGTAATATTGGAGGGAAAATTAGTGAATGTTTTATAATCTTATATGAGGGACCACTAAAAGAGAGTTAAGAACTCAAATAATAGCATTCTCCTTACTGAACTTTCTTCTTATTTGGGTTTGAATGTTGGGCAGGTTGATGCTGTACATTCTGCTTTGAGTGCTATGGGGTTCCAGGACGTGGAGATTGTGGTTGCTGAGACAGGATGGCCCTCACGTGGGGACAGCAACGAAGTAGGACCTAGTGTTGAAAATGCAAAAGCTTATAACGGCAACCTCATTACTCATCTTAGATCATTGGTTGGAAGCCCTTTGATGCCTGGAAAGTCTGTGGAAACTTACATTTTCGCTCTCTATGATGAAAATCTAAAACCAGGCCCGGGATCTGAACGCGCATTTGGACTGTTCAAAACCGATCTTAGCATGTCATACGATGTTGGCTTAGCCAAGTCTAGCCAGCAGGTGAGCAATAAATTGCTATTCTTTAAGACACGGGTATAGACTGTTGAATAATTTTTGGCAAGTAAAAAGACATTTGGACACCTGAGAGGTGTCTACACCGGAGGAGATGAGAAATAAATAATTGATGAGAAATAAGAAGATAGAGGCATAGAGAAATTAAGGGTGTTAACAAGAAGTTTTATTTATTTGAGTGTCAAAAATTCATTGCTGTGTGACTAACATCTAGATTTATTTTTGTGTCCACAGACTCCATCAACTAGTCCAACAGCTCCGGTTACTCCAGCACCGAACACTGCTGGATGGTGTGTACCCAAAGCTGGAGTTTCTGATAATCAGTTGCAGTCCAATATTGACTATGCATGTAGCCAAGGCATAGATTGCAGGCCAATTCAACCAGGAGGCGCGTGCTTTGAGCCTAACACAGTAGCATCCCATGCTGCATTTGCCATGAATCTATACTACCAAACTTTTGGCAGAAATCAGTGGAACTGTGATTTCTCTCAAACAGCAACGCTCACATCCCAAAACCCAAGTAACTTCTCTTCACACCTTTTCAGTTTTCCCCCTTTGTAAATATTTGTTTCAATGATGCAATCATAGTAATAAAAAAGGTCCAAGAATAATCTGTCCCTTATGCTTAATCCAAAATGAAAACTAGCCATTACAAACAAAACAAACGTAATAGTAAAGAGCACTATTCTTTGATAGGAATAGAATCGGGAGAAAAGATAAGATTGTCTTAGCTGGCACCAACGTGTGATGCTCAAGTTACCAAAAGGTTACTTTTATATATTAGGTCTCTATCAAAAGACAACAGCTTTTGATCTTTTAGGTGGCGTCTGTTTGGTGGAACGTGATTGGAAATTGAATTGTATAAGCTTTGTGCTTTATGGACGTTGTTTTCTGGTTTCTAACCAATGGCACGTATAATACATATATTCTGTCGGTGGTCTAACTCCATTTTCTCGTTCTCGTAGGTTACAATGCATGCGTTTACACTGGTGGGAGCACCTGAAAGAAAGAGAAAGAGGCTTCAGATTAATGTCAATTAATAAATTTTGTGGATAGAATTTAGAATTAAATTATCGAATAAGGGCGTCTACGACTATGTTGCCCTCTTATAGTTATAGCCTTTCAATTTTAGAGACATGCCGATTCCGGTTTGTGTATGATATCCACTTTTTAGTGTGGCAATTCACAATTCACAATTTACGATTCCAATTAATCCCTCCCATTTTATCAATGGTAAAACATTCTTTCGCCCGTATACAGTGCTTTTGAAAACTCTTGCCAAATATGAAAAACTACACGTCCACTTAAAGTAATTTTAAGTAGCTTCCACGTTTTTACGTAGAGACAGAGATGGTGAATCTAGTTTTCAAACTTGATTCTAAACATGCACGTAGTTACAAATGTGATTATATGCTCATTCTGGGTTGTAGAGGGTTGTTCCGTGGGGCATGCAGTGGCTGTAATATTATGAGAAAAATATCTTGCTTTTTTTATTTTTTATTTTTGGATAGAAATAATAGAATGGGGGAGATACTTGAGGTGTCAATGACGTTGCCCAAGTCTAAACTGTAAATAATTTTACCGGTGGACACCAAAATATCTCTTTAAGGAAGTTTCCACCAAGTAAGCAAATTCACATCCACACAGAAAATGAAAATTATCTTAAACATCTTTAACCATTTGTAGTAACTCTCCTTATACCAACCTTTCTTACCATTTTTTTATAAGCAAAATTGAATTAAATAAGATGAATACAAGGGGTACTCCAACCCATATACACAACATAATTAAAGTAAGTAGTGGACTTCTGACATCAAGAGGTGTTTAATGAAAACAACACAATAAATACATACCTCCTAAAATCAGTTTGCAATCATCATACAATAAAAAACCTTACACCAATAGGTGGAACAACCAAACTAGCAATCCAAAAAAAGACTATCAACTACAAAGTGAAACCAATCACCATTGTTAAAAGCATTGGTGCAGTTAAGTCCGAATCATACACCCAAATAACAATAATCACCATCAAAATCACTTAATAAAAATTAAGGCATACGAAATGTGACTCAGCCCAAGAAGAAAATGAGTATAAAAAAGAATTATCTCTCGCTTTTAACCATTTTCAAGTGCGCAATTTTACCATTTCAAGTACATCTAAAGTAGATAGCACCTTGTAAAAAAAAATAAGAGTATTTCTTACTAGCCAAATACTCCAAATTATAGTCAACAAGATCACAACCCATCTATACATCATTTTGGATGGACAAAGAGGCAACCCAAGAAATTGATCAAAATAAGCAATGAAGCTATTGGACAGCACAGAAGTGAAGCCACACCATTCCAAGGAAAGCATCCAAACATGATATGCAAAAGAGCACTCAAAGAATAGGTGTGAAGAAGTCTCCATCCTATATTGACACCATACACAGGAACTATCCGAATCAATAAGAACATGTCGCTTAACAAGATTAAATTTTGAGGGGAATCTGTCTAACAATACCCTTCAAATAAAACAAGAGACCTCACCAAACGGCACCAAATAAACTTGTGTAATGGTATTTCAGCAAAAAGAGAATCATTGACAATAACATGATAAGCTAACTTGACAGAATACTTGCCATTTGAATCAGCTTTCCATCTCCAAGAATTATGAGTATACTCTTGAACCTGAAAATCACAAAGTTCAAAAACTAATAGATCCATTTGTTCCAATTCCCATTGAAATAAAGGCCTTCTCCACCTCCAATTCCACTAAGTGATTTCTTAAAAGATACATGAATATTTAAGGATCAATAAACCACATAGATTATATAATTTAGAGGCATTTGTTTCAAGTAATTTTAGTTGGGTGAATGCTATTCTCGAAAATGTATCAATGAGAATGACATTTTTAGATATTAAAAAAAACATGTTTGGTTAACTAAGATTTAATTATCTAATTTTTTTCCTTACATTCTCAGGAATAAAAAACATATTTAGTTCAAGTTATTTTTTTCCTATAAATATATGCTATAATCACAAAAATGTATGTATTATATTACATTTATTATTAATTTTTTTTAACATTTATATTAATAATTAAAATTTTAAAACCTTGATTTTAATTAAAACAAACGACGATTTCGGTTGCATTTTGGATGTGGATTTTTATCAAAGAAAGCTATTATTGGGTGGTGAGTGCATATTTGGAGGAGGTTTGAATTTCTTTTTGCAATGATCCATAAGCCACCCACTTTTATGATTCAGCAGATTATTTCAGCGCTAGATCAAAGTCTATTCAATAATCATAGCATATGCGCTGTATAACAGTTTCTTTAATTTACTACAGGAAAATGACATGCTCCTATTATTTTCTGATACGCAATATTATGTTGGCACGAGCTAGGAATATGATCTTTTCATAATAAATTTCAGTCCCACTTTACAGGAATTTATTTTTTTAACCTGTTTTTCTGGGAATAAAAACACACTAATAAATATGACAACGAGTCTTTCTTAAAAATAAAATTATTTAAAAATATCTTTTTATAATCTTTAGATAAATATGAGAATGAATATTCTCACTTATATGCTCGATAATGGGAGATGTGAAAAAATGCTCCCTTAAAATAATATAGAGGATTAAATAATTAAATGTCACGCTATGTATGGACTTTGAGAAGTAATTAATTCATCAGCTAGGGATAGTTAAGAATAGAAATGCCAAAAAGGTTATTATTATTATTAGTGATAAGTTATGTAATATTACAGTTAGTTATTGTTAAAAAGATTAACAGTGCTTTAATTTGGAATATAACAAGTTTTTTCTCCTAAAATTGTTTATTTTTTAATAGATGTTGTGTGTGTGTGTATTGTGAGTTTTCTAATCGGTAATTTGATTAAAGAATAATTTTTAAATTCATTATTTTTTAAATTATTTTTCTCTTTCTCCAAATATTTTCTTTTTTTAGTCAAAATTAAAAAACAATTAAAAACATTATTTTGATTATAAACTATTGTGTTTCTATTACTAAGATTTAAACAATTTATACTTCTTAATTCTGGAGGACTGGAACGAACTCGGTGATATTGTGACATGAGATTTTAGAATTTTGTAATGAAAATAAATTGGAAGGTAAATGTTGAAAACGGATATCGATGATATTGATTAATTTTATTGTCCACAGGACACACAAAGATCCGTTGTCGTCCAGCGGTTAGGATATCTGGCTTTCACCCAGGAGACCCGGGTTCGATTCCCGGCAACGGAACCTTTTTTAAAATTTTGTTTTCCTTCCTTTCTGTCTCAATTTTGGGTTAAAAACTTATCTGGCTTTTTTGTATATTTCAGAAGCAAAAATTTTGTTTTCCTTCCTTTCTGTCTCAATTTTGGGTTAAAAACTTATCTGGCTTTTTTGTATATTTCAGAAGCAAGATTCTTGTTCAAATGATATACTGATGGAGGAAATAATAATATACTTGACAATGTAGGTTGTAACACTTGATTTCTATGATACCAACTTAGACACTGCTAAGAATATGACCCAGAAAACAAAGGATCATTAAAATCTGTTCAAATATTATTTGCTTAATTTGCCAATAGAAAGCTCATCATGTATAATCCAGATTCTGCTCGGTGTAAGGAAAAAACCAATGTCCATTTGGAAATGGAAACTTATGAATACAGCCAAAGATGAAATAAGATCATCTTCCCTCACAAAGGAAGATTTAAAATCAGACAATGTCAATTGCATCTTCTGCAAAATAAAGTAAAACTTGTTACTGTTTTTGCATAGTGGAATTAGGTAGGTGAGGCACTTGTTTTATTGATTGAGATGGGCCCAGCAATTAATTGTCTCTTTGAAGATAAGAAATTAAATGCAGGCAGAAAAAGCTTTGGATTCGAGTTCTATATATTTTGTCATCATATGTGCAGTGCAGAGATTCATCTTATATCTAGCATGCAGGTTGTTGCATCTTGAGATGCAGGGATTTAGTAGTTTTTTATGATACATTTTTTTATTCATAAAAAAAGGGTTTATTTTCAAATGCAACTGAAAGCTAAATTCCGAATTTAATATTATAATGGAAGAAAAAAATGTAAAACAAACTAAGAATATAACATGACAATCAATATTTAATAATATTTAGTTTAAATTTATCTTTAATTATCATTTTTATATTATAAAAATAATAAAAATGAAGTAATAATGAAATAAAAACAATAATTAAAAATACAATTTAATATAAATATTATAAAATATTAATAATTATGTTATCAACTAATGTCAGATTATGACTAATATTACCATTTTACTAATTAATGAATGGACATTTGATAAGAGGATAGAAATTATGAATTTTACAAAATTGAGAAACTTAAATTGCAGATTTAATATTATAAGAAGACAAAAATGTAATTTAGACTAGTATATCTATTTTAAGTAAAATATTATCATATCAATTATTATAATTTTTCCAAAAAAAATAAATTTATTAAATAGTTAGAATATAATTATGAATTATTCGAGCCTTTAAGTTAGATATGAAATATAATTGATAGTATTATTATTAGAAAAATATAATAAATATTTTCTGAAAGCAATTGCCTAGTTATGGTGGTGTACACATAGTGTAGGAACACAGGACTGCTAGCTAGGTTGCTGATGCTTTGATGCAACAATCTGGATCCAGGGGAGAGCTGACTAGTTCTGCTAAACATTTAAACTCATTTCTGCGTGTTTCAAAAGAAGCTAGTCTCTAGTAAATATAATTGAGGATAATTAGGCTCAATTTAGATAATATGCATAGGTTTTATGTTATAATTTTAGTGACACTATTGCATACCAATAATTATAATTAAGAAAAAATATTCTGTAATGAAAATATTTTTTGTTTTAAAGAATAAAACTATTTTATATTTATTCTTAAAGAGATTAAAAATATTTTACAAAGATATTAAATACTTCACAATTGATATATTAAAACATTCACTAATGAGATTTTACAACCCGTATAAGTATCAAACATCTTTTAATATATCTTTATGGAATAAAGCTTCATGTAAAACTTGTAAAATAAGTAAGATTCATATTATAGTGTGAATCATAGAGTTGACCTAATGACAAGATATTAAAATATTATATGCAAGATTTTAAATTTGAATTCAAATTTTAAGTGTTATTATTGTAATTTTAAAGAATAAAAAAAAATCATATTATTTAATATATTTTATATTAAATATACTTAATTATGTTTTAGTTATCTCAAATAGTATAACTATATGATTCTAGTTCTCAAGGTTTTGATTAACCAATTTTAATCCTTAATCTATTTAAATTATATATATTATAACTTTTATTTATACATTTAGTGATATATATATATATATATATATATATATATATTATTAAATAAATAAAATATATATATATATAATATTTATATTATATTATTATTGAAAATTAATAATAATAATATTATTAGTATATTTATAGATAAATTAATAATTTTATTAAAGATAAATTAGTATATATTAATATATATTTACAAACTATAAATATATTAGAAGAAATTTAATTAGACATACCAATACATCGTCACTATGTTAATATAATATCATAAAAAATTGTTAGATTTTTAGTGAAAAAAATTAAAATCACACAATTGCAATATTTAACTAACTAAAATTACTTAATTAAAAATTAAAGGATCAAAAATGCTTGATGGACAAAAATTGTTTAATTAAAATTTGTGACTAAAATCATGCAATTACGATACTTAAGTAACTAAAAACACTTTTAAATATATTAAACAATAGTAATACTATTGAAAGAACATTTTAAGATTTTTTTATTAGAATTATTCCCTTTGTTCAATAATGAGTATACCTTTAATATTTGAAAATTTCCTAAAATGATTTATGTTTTCACTTTTTTATGTAATATTAATAATTTATTTTTAACTTACTCATTCATAAATTATTTAACCGCCACAATTAGAAATAATACATTTTGAGAAGGATGAACTATATTTAGTAAAACTCTACTATCAAAAAATAATATATTTATTATTGTCCTTAATCTATGTATGAAAAATCTTAAATTGTATTGTGAGACATGGAGAATAAAATTAATAAGATGAGAAGTCAAAGTAAGGCTTAGCCATGCTATAATATAATACGACGTGTGATATATGAATTAATAAGATTATGTGAAATGTTATGCATAGAGTCTATTTAACATACATCATTGTATAAAAATGTTTTTAAGTGTGTGATATGGAATACACCGTTAAGGGAGACGCCTTGAGTAAAAGCTTGGGGGTTAGTCTTTGAAAATAACTTGGTTTGAAAGTCCTAATCTTGTCTATTGTATGCATGGGATGTATGTTGTGTGTCTTAGCTATCCCGACCAAATCTTTGTATTCTAGTTAGAGTGTATTGAGCATAGTTTTAAAAATCGGATTGGTCATCAAACCGGTTAGGGTACTAGGTTAGTGAGTCAAAGGTTGAACTGATAGGTCTCTAATTGAACCGCATGACCCGGTTTTTATTAAATTTTTTTAAAAAAATATTCATGTTAAATATATTTTATACTTATAAATTTTAATAAATTCATATCCTATTTTAAATTTCAATTTTCATCTTATTTAAAATTATATTTATTTTTATTTTGTATAAAAATAAATAAAATAATTACATGTTAAACCGTATATTAATATAAATTAAAAATATAAATAATATGTACATATATAATATGCTTGCAATTGATATCACAAAATAATATATGTAATATTTATATAGATATTATATTATTAAATATATAATTTAAAATTAATAATATATTATAAAAGTTATTTAAGTTGCATATAAACAAATACATTAGAACAAGTAGTCATTCTTATGTTTAATATGACTTTTTGTTCTTTCATTAATAGATTCAATTCTTATTGTTATTTTTGTGGTTTGTGGTCCCTTAAAAAAATTGTTGTTGAACCGGTTTGACCCACCAGTTCACTGGTTGAACCAGAAAATTGACCGGTTCAATCTAGTTTGAAACGGGTTGAATGCATAACCAATCCAACTTAAGATTTGGACCAGCTGGACCACCGGTTCCTGGTTCAACTGGTCTAACCGGCCGGTCCGATCCAATTTTTAAAACATTGGTATTGAGGGTGAGATGCAACATGTACTCCTATATTATTTTACATGTATTGTTAGTGACAATGCATAAGTGTGATGTATGATATTTTTACTAGTATCACATGTATAATAATATATAGCTTGTGTCCATTGCATACGCATCTTAATGTTATGTGTTATTTAATTATTATGTCATGAAAGAGTGAAATATGTTATTGTCACCAATTTGTCCATGTTGTGTATATATGTATGTCTTGTTTGTGTTTGACTATTTTGTTGTTGTTCTTATATTTCCTGTTGGTAATCATCAACAGGATATTGAAAATGTTGGTGATGAGTCTTGGACTTTATGTTGGGTTGTTATGATAAGACATGTGACATTAATGTGTAGTTAGGATTAATTTAGAAGTTTGCTTCATGTTATTAAATTTGAAAGATTTGGTTTTAATTTTTTTATAATTTTGTTATTTTAATTAAATTTAGTTATGTTAATAATGTGATTCTCTCCACTTTTATGAATTTTAAGTTCATTTATGTTAGATGAGGTATTTTAGTTTCATATTATTTATTTGTTATAATATATAGGATAGAGAGTGTCACAATGTTAACCCAAACAATTGTGAATAATAAACAAAAATTATTTCATCTCAAGTAATCATTTGAGTCATTTATAACATATTTAAAAGATTAAACAACAACAACACTAAATGATTCCAACCAATAAAAAAATAAATGAAAAATAGTTCAAAACCTTCACTGAGAAGCTTCATCCTTAACTATAAAAGTATCACCATATTTACAACATTGTCAATGGTCAAATAAAATTAGGTCAACATTTTTGTAAACATGTCAACTATTCACAAACAACGTCTGTTCAAAGTTAAAAAGGAGAATGATATAAAAATAAAATTGTTTGTATAAAAGTTCAACTAAAAAGAAAATCTGGTGTAAGTTTACAAACTAAAAAAAATAATTAAACTATAATATTAAAAAAAAAAACCTTCAATTTAATTGAAGAAGAGTGTTTATCTTAATAATTGTTTTTAATAAAAATTAACTTTCCATTTTGATTGAATCATAATTATTATTATAGTCTATAGATAATAAAATTGTCTATTTTCATAACAATGACTTAGAGCATATGCAATAGAATTGGTTATAAGTAATTCCTTATGTCATATCACTGCTAAATCAGTTCTGTCTCATTTTATAAGTTGCTTAAATTTTAGTAGAGTTGTTTAAGTAACTCTACTAAAATTTACACAACCTATAAAATAAAACAGCTAATTTAGCAGTGATGTAATAGAACATATTACTTGTAAGCAACAGAGTTGCGCTTAAAAAGTGATGTAAATTAAGAATTTGAATGTAAACGCTAATAAAAAAACAGATTCCATTTATAACTTGACTTGAGTATATAAAAGAGCAAGAGACGGAAAAAGCGGGCCCGGCGGCGTCAGTAAATAATAACAGTGGTCTGTGGCTGTGGCTGTGGCTGTGGCTGTGGCTGTGCGTGGCTTTCACACCAATCATCAATCACCAATGACCATGGATTCTTCTTCTTCGCCCTAAGTTTCGATGCATGGATTAGGATTATTACTTATTTATTCCTCATCCAACTTGCAATACCTAAAGCTATAATGTCCGTTACGGAGCTCAAGGAGCGTCACTTGGCGGCCACGGAAACCGTCAACAATCTCAGGGAGCGTTTGAAGCAGAGGCGTCGTTCACTGCTCGACACAGATAGTAACTTGTTCTTCCTCTTCTTCAATTTTCGTTTTCTCTTATTATTAGATTCACTCTTACAAAGCAAAACCCTCGCTCTTTGCAGTTGCTGGCTACGCCGCCTCTCAAGGTAGAACCCCTGTCACCTTTGGCCCCACCGATCTCGTTTGCTGTAGAACGCTTCAGGGCCACACCGGAAAGGTCTTTTTCAATTCAATTCCTTTTCCGTCTCTTCTCTTTCTATAATATTCTAATTCACATTTCAATTTCAATTTCAATTTCAATTTCAATTTCAATTTCAATTTCAATTTCGCAGGTTTACTCCTTGGATTGGACTTCTGAAAAGAATCGAATTGTTAGTGCATCCCAAGATGGGCGCTTGATAGTGTGGAATGCTCTAACAAGCCAGAAAACTCACGCTATAAAGCTTCCTTGCGCGTGGGTCATGACCTGTGCCTTCTCACCAACGGGTCAATCCGTTGCGTGTGGGGGCCTCGACAGTGTTTGCTCCATTTTCAATCTCAATTCCCCCACTGATAGGGATGGGAATCTCGCCGTTTCGCGCATGCTTAGTGGACACAAAGGCTATGTCTCCTCTTGCCAGTATGTTCCAGATGAAGACACTCACTTGATCACTGGTTCCGGTGATCAGACTTGTGTTTTATGGGATATTACTACTGGCCTTAGAACGTCTGTTTTTGGTGGTGAATTTCAGTCTGGTCATACTGCTGATGTGCTTAGGTATGTGGGAGATTACTGGATTAATTTCACTCTATTAGTCTGTTTGGATATAGGCTTATCAGAGCTTCTCTACTGAAAATAAAGAATTATTTTTAGTATAGAATCTCTGATCTCTCAAATCCAAACAAGTTCTATATTTGTTGTTTTTCGTTTCTTGAACAGCTTATTGGCCCCTTCAACTTCAAGATGCAAAGCAACTGCATAAATGCCAATTAAAGTGTAAACTAGAATCTCTGCACTTACTGATAAGATTATGAAATCTGAATGACGGTTAACACGCTGGTTAATGTTGATCCATAGCATATAGAACAAGCTTCTGCCAAAAAATGTATTGTCAAGTTTAGAGCATAATCTGTTGGATGATGTGCACTTTAAGTTGATTTAATTGCAGTGTTCCCTAAAACATGATTCAGTCGAGTGTTATTTGTTTGGTGTTAAATATTTTCTAAGAAACCCTTTTTTTGCTTTGCCCACCCTCAGCATTTCGATTAATGGATCCAACTCTAGAATGTTTGTATCTGGTTCTTGTGATGCAACTGCCCGATTGTGGGACACTCGCGTGGCAAGCCGAGCAGTGCGGACATTTCATGGGCACGAGGGAGATGTTAATTCTGTCAAATTCTTTCCTGATGGAAATAGATTTGGAACTGGCTCAGATGATGGTACTTGCAGATTGTTTGACATTAGGACTGGTCACCAACTACAAGTATATCATCAGCAACATGGTGACAATGAAGCTGCACATGTGACCTCCATTGCATTCTCCATATCTGGAAGACTTCTTATTGCTGGATATACAAATGGTGCTTGCTATGTTTGGGACACTTTGTTGGCAAAGGTAATTGGTACTTTATTGTAATGTTGCAAAACAACTGTAGGGTGCTTTCTTTCTGCTCACTGCCCTGTACCATCAAATTCAGCATAGCTTTTTAACAAAACATATACTACATAACAATTGCTTATCTTTAGTGTGAATTATTTCACTTTCATAACAAAAGAAATATGTTTTGGGTAGTAGTAGTAGTGAGGAATTGCCTTGTATGGGGGAAATTTTTTACAAAGACCGTCTTTAATTCTGGATTATAAATTGGTTAATTTGATTTTACTAAACATATGATTTGGGACGAGTTTTGGTTTCACTTTGTTTCTTGTTCAATATGTTTCAGTATTTCAGCTGTGGTGACTTTGTGTAGAAAGAGTGGTTCTGGGTCTACTCTACTTTGTAAAACCAGGATCGGTTCTCAAGTTGTTTATCTTGTGTATTCGTATAACTTTCTGAAATTCTTATTTGGTTACATTAATTCCAATAAATTAGGTTCATAAGAGTGGTTGTGGGTCTACTCTACTTTGCAAAACCATGATAGGCAAATGATCTTCTGGTTTTGAGACGTTTGGGTACTTTGTCTAAAGACATTACATGATACATGACTTGCTTTGCGGGCCAGTAAAAAGAGTTTGAAGTGATTGATTGAGGATTTTCTATTTTTGAAAAAAGGCAAGGGTAGTTGACAAAGAGAGTTCTAACATAGATTAACATGAATTGTGCAGACTGGCATTAGATTAACATGTGCTTGTTCACACGCGTATACATACATGCACATAGAACTGACCTAAAACAATTTTCAATTCCCTCTGTTATCATTTCATCATAACTTGATCTTTCATACATGCACATAGAACCGACCTATAACAAATTTCAATTCCCTCTGTTATCATTTCATCATAACTTGATCTTTTTTGACATTGCTGTCGCTTCATTTTAACTTGCTCTTGCACTTGTATCTAGTGTAACTTTTGTGACAAATCATATCCAAACATGCAGTACGACTAACTATATCTGCTTCTTCGTTTTACTGCAGGTGGTCTTGGATTTAGGATCTCTTCAAAACACTCATGAGGGCAGGATCAGCTGTTTAGGTTTGTCAGCTGATGGAAGTGCCTTGTGTACAGGAAGTTGGGATACAAACTTAAAGGTGAGCATGCATTTTGGCCTGATTTAGAATCTTATCGGTTATAATTTTGGAAGTTAGCTTGTATGTTGGTTTTTTTTTTTTTTTCATTTTCTTTTAAGTCACTAGGATAATTATATTTGTCTTGAAGCTTGATGGTTTATAAGCATTCATTTTTTTATAAGGTTAAAACTTAGAAAGAATTAGGATTTAAGCCAAAAAATGCAATAAATTGACATATCACATAGGAGCTTATAGAAAACATATATTGAGTTGAAGTTCAAACTATCATGCTTTCAGATTTATTCAAAGGCAATGGTAAAATCCTCGGTGAGCAAGACCATTATCTTGTGTTGGAATCACATTTTTCATCATCTTGTTTTCCTTGTCATTTATCCACTAGTAATGGTTGCTTAATTTGCGACATTAATAAAACATTTTCACTAGGATTGTCATGACACTAGCATTGATAATCTGTGGATATTGTACCAACTGCATCCAGGGGTACTAATTTATGTGGAACTTACTGGTTGACTTGATCGGCTATGGTGTTTTCACTTAGAAAGTCTAGGTGTTTGCTCGACTGATTATTTGCTTCTTGCAGATATGGGCATTTGGAGGGTATAGGAGAGTGATGTGAGCCATTAAGAGGAGCAAAGACTTGTATTTTGACCTTTGTCTATGCCTCTGCTTTCGTGATATCGTGGTTCACAACAAACAACCCAATAGCGATGCTTTCGATGGTGAATGTGAAGAAAAATTGGAAGGCAAAGGTTTTAAGAATGGGACTAGTGCGGCGATTTGTTAATCCCGTATCCATTGGTTCGTGTGTGTGATCTGTAGTTTTTCCATTGTACTCACCGCTTCCATACCTGTACCTTAAACTGTCTCAATTTTATTTGAAAACATTACAACTTGGTAAGACATACTTCACCAGCGGTGAAGAATCAATGGAGTCACAGACAGATGGAGATTATCGAGTTAATAAATATTTTTTAAATTTAATTATATTTTATATTGTGTTACAAGATTATTTTAAAAATTGATAATTTCATTTAAAAATTATTGAAATTTAATTTAGAAATAAAAATAAAAAGAATAAGAAGTTGAGAAATTTCTAGGATTGCTCGTTTAAGGTAATTAATTTAATTTATATGTAGAGAATATCAACCATTGATTTTTTTTAACAACAGTTATAGGTATACTTTACTATTGAAAAATCACTAGAGTTAGTTTAGTAGTTGGATGAGAGAGATTGAGGTAGTTAGAAACATGGAGATCTAGGTTTAATTTTTATTACGACTATTTTTGTAATCTTTTTTATCTTGAAAACAATATATTTTACTATCGAAAATAATACCCTATCACATATAAGAAGAAGCCGAATCTAACGTGAAAAACCAAGACCTAACTTCGAGAAAATATCATCTATTATTTTTTTCTATTTTTTTTTTCTATTGCTAAGTTATTAAGAAAATAACAGTTACTCTAAAATATGTTTCATCTTCGTTTCTTTCAAAAACTTGAGAAATAGAATAAATGGAGTAAAAAGGAAATGAAGAAAATAGTTTCCCCCTAACTAAACAATCAATTCAAAGTGCGATATCCCGAGTACTGACATTCATGTCGTGTCCAGTCTGTCATCAACAATTACGGTAAAAATGCTTCAACTCTCCACTTTAGTTTGTTAAAACTGAATGTTTTTGTTTTATTAGCGAAGTGGTTGAATTGGTTTAAACCCTAAAATTGGTGAAAGACACTTTATGATATGAGGATCAATCCGGTCAAATTAGAATTGAACATGATTTGGCATCATAAATAAAAATGTAATAATGTGATATTAAAATAGAAGAAAACACAAATGGGAAGTATATGGATTTAACTAATTGATGGGTATTAAACGAAATATTCTATTTCTCTAATATCTGGTAATTCCATAAAAAAATGGTGGAAAAAACTCCTTTATTTTAAATATACGAACTAAACCATTATTGCATTACGAAAAATACATCTTTCTATAAAATCTAGTATTGCTCTTAAAATTTTATAAAAATTATGAATAAAATATATTCTAAATGATTAAAGACGTGAGATACTTCATTTGGTAATTAAGATGACGTTCATGAAAATTTTTCCTTATATATTTTAGCATACAGTTTCATAACACCCCCAATCTAACTAGTCAATTTAGAGAGTAAAGAAAATGAAAACTTCACTCTAAATTAAGAATTTTAATTTATAGTGTAGGAATAAATTTAAAATAAGTTTTAAACTAACACTGCCAAACTTCTACTTATAGGATTATTATTTTGAACTTTAATTTTAAAATATCTTTTAAGGAAAAAACAAAACTGAATCAAACATAATCATGCACAAGCGTAAATCTCGACCGGGTCATAAAACATGTCTTCTGTACTAAACAATTACTGTTCAACAAATATTCAATTCATTGAGGACACAAACATTGATTAAGGTAAATCCTCAAAATTCATCTTACATTCACTACAAGGAAAAAAATGAAGTATAATTATGGTGAAGTGTACTGCAATAGGCCCGAAGTGATCGTTGCTAGTCTAACAAGAATGCAGTGAGTGAAGGACAAACAATTACAATTTTGAAATTCTTTACAAACGTCAATCTATATGCCTGCTTAACTCCAATCTCATTAACCAAAAAAGGGGTTGAATTGAATTAAGTCAATATTTATTGACTCACTGGACTAGCCGCTTGCCACAATCTCATGAATGGCATCGTTCACAGTTTCATCCTCCGATCTGACTGCCAGTTTCATTGCAACATCCTTTGGACCATCAAGTCCAAAAGACAACCGTACAAGCACCTTTACATTCCCTATGAACACACCTGACAATAAGCATTGGTGTGATCTTGAATTGGGTGGAACCTCCTCTGTGCCCTGCACATGATCAGCAAATCAAAATTATAAAAATGTCACCTTCCCATGGTGAATCTACATGCCAAGTGTCTAGATGAGGTGAGATTCTAGTGCCATGGAGTAATAGAAGCACCTATGAATCGTTTCTAATTTAGGTTCTCTGCGCATACAATAGCGTCAAGTCTACATGCATGCATGTACCACCTTGATATCGGGAGTTTGGCTGTGTCTCTAAGTTAACTTTCAAATCTTTCAAATGAACATGGCTGAGTGACACTATAAAGTCTATATACTTATACTCACCAATTGCATTAGCATCTTTGTTAGAATATCAAACAAGCACACAATGGCTTAATCTTTATGTGCCATGAAGTAAAAAGTCTCTTACTACAAAGCGCCTAAGAATATCTTCTAACTTTGTGTGCAGACAAGCATGCTGCTGAAATGGCATTTTACGGGCATGAATGGGCTTCCTGTGAAGTTCAACTTCAAATCCTTCTAAGGAACTAGGCTTGGTTCGAACATTTAAGTCTTTATATCACCAACTGTCTTTACATCTTTTATGAATTTTATACATCAATTTATATATGAGAATGCCAATTTTCAGTTTATCCTCTAAATCCCACATGGAAAACGAATTTGCAACAAGTATAATGTTAAAGCATCTAACAAGAACAATCAAACTATAGTAACACTATGTTACAGTAAAAATTGTATGATCACCTTGCTTTCTCATAATCAGTTTAATAAAATTAGGCACTAATGGGGATAGTGGGAAGGGCTTCACGAAATTAACAGGAGGTCATAGGTTAAAAACGTTTGTGTAAAACACTTCGTGCAACCACTGTACGCAACACACATGCAAAGATACACAAATTAAATAAAGTGGTCTAAATAGAGTTATCAAAGCAGTAATTGACGTCATCGACTCACCTCACAGGGCTGCAAGCCAAGTAGGTTGATAACAGTATATACAGCTTCAGCCAAGCTCTCTCTAGGACCAAGCCCATACTCATCCACTCGCTCACAATCAGGGCCCAAGCTTTCCCATGCATTCCTGAAATTAGACACCCCCACTTTCAACACATAATCTGCTGCAACAACCTCCAGATCCTCCAACTGGTATTCATCTTCAACACCATCATCTTCAGCCTCGCCAGTGGTTGGGTCAACCTGAAGAGGATCCAGTTTATGTAGAGATGAGATTTGTACAAAATTATAATAGGTTATTCTCCACAAATTCCCTAAAAGGAGAAAAATAAAAACAAGCTTCATGATTGAAATATACACATAAATCATGATGTCAAATAATAATAATAATAATAAATTAATAATAAAAAAACTAGAAATCTTCACAAAATAAAGAGGACAATACCTCTTTAACAATAAATTTCAGGATGTTAGAAAATTTTCCAAAAGTTGGCACTCCCTCAGGCTTCTCAAATGCCACAAAAGTCTGTCCAGGTGAATCATAAGGAAGAGACCTGAGAGGCTTGGAGAACAAAACTGAGAATTCATCTGCTTCTGAAGCATCCACAATCACAACAACCTGTAATAGGGAAAAACAATTACAAAGACCTGGAATTGGATTATTTAATGAAATTTTGAAGCTTCTATAATAGTCATACATCTTCCAATAATTGCTCCGGTATCGTGTTTGTGCAGTTGTACTGGAACACAACATGCCTATCAAAAATGTGTTTAACGACATTAACTGCATATTCTGTCTCAGCTTCAGTAAGCTCCACAGGTGCTGAGGACTGGTGAAAATGCAACATCAAAATACATACCACATTAAATATAGAAAGAAAAACATAAAAATATAGAATTGCGGAAGAAGAATCAAGTGAAAGAACCTTAAAAAGCTTCCCAAAGTTTGCACACTCTGGAATGGCTGAAAGCATCCTCTCATAGGCATCTACAGTTGATGGGGGACCAATTGGAGGAGCACCCAAACCAGTTGGCTTTTTACCAGTGGCTTTCTTTTCTGCAAGTGGCTGGGACTTGACCTCTTTGGACACAGCTTTAATATCAAAAGCTTCTTCTGAAGGGTCCTACATTCATATTAAACACGAGATGATATACTATTGCCATCGATAAGCAAGAATGATGCTGAGGACTTACATAATTTTTCAAACTAGTCTCCAGATTGACGAGTGGGATATCAAATGGCCCAAACAAGAAGTCCTTTACATCTTTATCAGTCTCAACAACTGAACCATCACCTCCAATTGTGTTCAGGTAAAGTGTTGCCCTATCCCGAACCTACAAAGAAATTAAAATGCCAGATATGTATCAAAGCAGTTACAATTTTAAAAATATTCAGAACTTAAAAAGCTCCCTTTTGGGAGGTGGGGTGGTCAATCTGGACCAGAAATAGAATGAAGTGATAAACAGCTAGATTTTATTGCATAAACAGCCTTGATCAGTATCAAAGTGATACAGAACTGTCAGAACCATGGAATTGTCTTTATGATTCCCACATATTTGAGACACCTGGTTCTCTCCCTCCCCAAGGAAGTCTAAAACCTACTCTTTATTATGTCCACTGTCCAGTCTGTTCTAATAATCTAATTGACTATTACTAACTGTTGATACAGTAATCAACCTATTCAGACTATTTTAGCTTAGTAAATGCTGATAATTGGCTGAGTACCAAACAGGGGATGTCATTCATAATTTTGAAATTTTGAGTATCTAATATGAATATTTTAGTTTTGTGGACAAACATGCATATATTTGAAAGATTTAAACAATTCAAAAATTTAAATTTTATGCTCACATGTATGAGCAACAAATACTAAATACGATGTACAAGAAACCCATATAACTAACGTATCTCAAACTCAAACCACGTAATTATAGAAATGCCACATAAAACAAGGTAAAGAAATTCACCTCATCATCACTGTCAAATAGGCATCGCCTTAGCAGAACAAATATGCGGGGCTGAAAGATTAAAGTATGAGATTTTAAGTTAAGTCAGCACCAAATATCCCCAAAAAATATTATGAAATATTTAGAGAAAATCACTGCCAACAAAACAACAAAATCAAGTAACACCTTTAATGCATCAACTGCAGCGCCAAATTTTGCCAGTGTGCTCACAGCACTGGC